GCAGAATGGGGTTGGACTGGATGGCCCATGAGGTCTCTTCCAACTCTTTGATTCTATGATTCTATGAAAGAGGGAGGGAAGGTTGGCCACAGCAACGTGGGGCGGGTACAGCTAGTTATATATAAACATGTCTTGGGGCTCCATGAGAAACTTTTGCTTCAAAAAGGTATCCACAGCTGGAAAAGTTTGAGAACCCCAGATCGAGACACTATTCTTCCATTGATGCATCCTAGAATAGCATCATGCACCAGAGTCCCACTTATGCATGCGTCAGACAGCCACAGGATGTCCTAGTGAACTCGTATGTGCGCTATTGAACAAGTATGAAGAAGAGGAAGAGAAGAAGAGGAGGAGGAAGACGGGAGAGCAGGGCACATCTTTCCACTCACCTTTCATTCCACTCCCTTCTTCCTGGAATGTGTTACGGGCGGAGGTCTGGTCTTCTAAGTGCTCGCTCCCACCGCTTCCCGAGGAGGCGATGCTGCTTTGAGGAGACAGGGGGGCATGGTCGGAGGGGAGGCTGGGCGGTCCTCTCGCTCGCAAGTCCTCATGAGACATCCATCCGTGCCCAAGAGGCTGGTTGGGGACGGTCATGGGCGGGGTAAGGGACACAGACCGCTTCAAGGGGCTGTGGTGGGTCTGGCTCGAGAGAACTGGAACAACAAAGGTGGGACACAACAATTATATTAAAAACAAGGCATCCCCTCACCCTCTGCTTCCTAAACGCTTGGCAGGTGGCTGCATCTATGGCAGTGTTTCCCAACCTTCCTAATGCCACGACCCCTTAACACAGTTCCTCATGTTGTGGTGACCCTCAACCACAAAATTATTTTTGTTGCTACTTCATAACTGTAATTTTGCTACTGTTATGAATCATAATGTAAATATCTGATATGCCAAGGTAGCCAAGGCAGCCACCTCTCCACCAAAGTCAACATCGACACCGAAATACAACACCGCCTGAGCTCTGCGAGTGCAGCATTTTTCCGAATGAAACGGAGAGTGTTTGAGGACCGGGACATCCGTAGGGATACCAAGGTGCTTGTCTATAAAGCCACTGTCCTCCCAACCCTGCTATATGCCTGCGAAACGTGGACTGTCTACAGACGTCACATGCAACTCCTGGAAAGATTCCATCAGCGCTGCCTCTGGAAAATCCTGCAAATCTCTTGGGAAGACAGGCAGACAAACGTTAGCATGCTGGAAGAAACAAAGACCACCAGCATCTCCGCCATCAACTCCGCTGGACCAGCCACGTTGTCCGGATGCCCGACCACCATCTCCCAAAGCAGTTGCTCTACTCCAAACTCAAGAACGGAAAACGGAAAGTTGGTGGGCAGGAAAAGAGATTTAAAGACGCGCTCAAAGCCAACCTTAAAAACTCTGGCATAGACACTGAGAACTGGGAAGCCCTGGCCCTTGAGCGCTCCAGCTGGAGGTCAGCTGTGACCAGCAGTGCTGCAGAATTTGAAGAGGCACAAATGGAGGGTTAAAGAGAGAAACGTGCCAAGAGGAAGGCGCGTCAAGCCAACCCCGACCGAGATCGCCTCCCACTTGGAAACCAATGCCCTCACTGCGGAAGAAGATGCCGATCAAAAATAGGGCTCCACAGTCACCTACAAACCCACCCCCAGGACACCGAACTTGGAGGACCATCATCCTCGGACTACGAGGGATCGCCTAAGTAAAGTAAGTAAGCATCTGATATGCAGGATATATTTACATTCACTGGACCACATTTGGCACAAATACTTGATATGCCCAAATTTGAATACTGGTGGGGTTGGGGGCATTGATTTTGTCATTTGGGATTTAAAGTTCACTTACAATCAGAGAGCACCCTGAACTCCACCAATGATGAAATTGAACCAAACCTGGCACACAGAACTCCCATGCTTTCAACAATACATAGAACTCCCATGACCAACAAAAAATACTCGATGGGTTTGGTGGACATTGACCTTGAGTTTGGGAATTATAGTTCACCCACATCCAGAGAGCACTGTGGACTCAAACAATGATGGATATGGACCAAACTTGGCAGGGATAGTCAATATGCCCAAATTTGAACACTGGTGGAGTTTGGGGAAAATAGACCTTGACGTTTGGGAGTTGTCGTTGCTGGGATTTATAGTTCACCATCATTGTTTGAGTCCACATCAAAAAAATTCCAATCAAACACTCTTCTGCCATGTACGAAAGGGACAATCTAAACACTCCTGACAGATGGCCTTCCAGCTTCTGTTCAAAAACATCCAGAGAATGAGACTGCATTGAACTCCCAGGTAGCATTTTCCAAGAAGTTTTTTTCCCCTAACAGTGAAGTGGAATCTGTTTTCCTGCAATGTAAAACCACTGCTTTGTGTCCTAGTCTCCAGAGTAGCAGAAAACAAGCCTTGCCCATTCCTCCTCAACGTGACCTCCTTTCAAATGTCTCTCATGTCCCCTCTTGACCTTTTCTTCTCCAAGCTAGATATCCCCAGCTGCCTTTGGAGGATGAGCCACTTTGGGTCTCTTTTTAGAGAGGAAAAAGCACAACAATAACAACAACAACAATGGATCAGTTGGGTTAATGTTGGACTAGTATTTGGACATTAAGGCTATACCACTTTGGGTTTTGTCCACTGTATTATTGAGCGATGATGGCTTAAATGATGCCAAGGCACCACCACTATAGGGCAGAGAATGCTTAAGACCTTGTCAAACTACAGCTCCCAGGATTCCATTGAGCCATGGCAGTTAAAGTGGTGTCAAACTACATTAATTCTACAGTATAGATGCGTTCTCAAAAGTGTACCAAACTATTCCTGCTGCTGGATAGAAGATGCCTCTGCGACGCACATCCTTCCACATTTTCCCTACTTCCAACCACAGTCAAATTAAGTAAATTCTAAGAATGATACTCCACTGTGTATGTTTCAAGCACTGGCAATGAGTTGTGTTGCTTGTAAACAAGCCGTAGCGCTAATTTTCACAGAATTGGGCAAGTACCATTACAAACAACAACAACAGCTCCCCAAATCCCATTATCATTTCAGCGCTGTGGCTGCCAACTGGTGAGGAGCGCACGATTGCTCAGTTTCTTTCTGTTTTCCTAACAGCTCTTCTTTGGATGTGATATAAGGGACAACAGCTACCAATGTGAGAAGCGACTGTTTTTTTGAATGGCAATCTGCTTACCGTTCTCTGCAGGAGATAAATAAGATATCAAAACAGGAGGCTAAAACCGTACCCAAAACACCAAGTGGACCGTCTGTCTCGTCTCCTCAGAGAGCCAATCACTAGGCAGGCAAAGCGATCGCCTTCGATGACAATATTCCAACTAGGTACAAACCCACTGCCAATAATTATAAATTGGGCAGACAACTGTTTTCAATTGCTAAAAATAATTAAGAGGGATAACGCGGATCAAAACTGCAGATGGCCAAGTCCATGTTGGAAAGATACATGTGTGAAAGAAGCGTGGATGCCATGTTGGCGCGTGAATATCTGAAAATATAAGCCAAGTTGGTTCCATCAATTAAAAGCAAAATCTAGAAATAATAAATTTCCATATTATTCTGGGCTTCTATTATTATTATTATTATTATTATTATTATTATTATTATTATTATTATTGACACAAAAGCACAGTATGTCACAGCAAACGAGATCTATATGCTCGATTTCGTATCACAAAATCACAAGTCGAACACTTCCCAAGTGTCTAGGACTGTGTGATGTATTTTCGGATGATGCGCGCAGATCCAAGTCAGATGGCCTTTTGCAGTTGACAGATCATGATTTTCATAGAATCATAGAATCAAAGAGTTGGAAGAGACCTCATGGGCCATCCAGTCCAACCCCATTCTGCCAAGAAGCAGGAATATTGCATTCAAATCACCCCTGACAGATGGCCATCCAGCCCCTGTTTAAAAGCTTCCAAAGAAGGAGCCTCCACCACACTCTGGGGCAGAGAGTTTGTCGATGTTTATTGTTTGTCGATGTTTATTTTGTCAATGTTTATTGTTTCCAAATGCCGGCTGAGATCTTTTGGCACGACACCCAGTGCGCCATTGACCACTGGGACCACCTGTACTGGGTGATGCCAGAGCCTTTGCAGTTCGATTTTGGAGTCGTGATAGCGGCTGAGTTTTTCCTGTTGTTTTTCCTCAATGCGACTGTCACCTTGAATGCCGACATCAATAATCCAGACTTTTTTCTTTTCCACAATCGTGATGTCTGGTGTATTGTGTTCCTGTTCCGTCTCCCAGGAGCCTGATTTGCCTCACTTTAAAGTTGCTTGAGGTTGCTTCCTCTTGCATTTTCTCCCAGGGCTGCTGCATCTTTGCAAGAGTCCTAAAAGTTAATAGTATCAGAGTCTGTAGGCCTCTTTGCAACCATTGGCTTACAGAGCAGCTCTTTGAGTTTAGGGACCGCCTTTTCTCCCAGGGAAAGATCTCCATTTTAGATTCTCCCCCTGCCTTTTCAGTTTGAGGAAAGACTTCAGGCGTGCTGATGGCTAAGCAGCTAGCTCTGGGAGAACCATTGCAAAAACTATATATATACACCATAGATAAGTATTAAGCTAAACTGAGATAGTATATTGTGTTTTGAGCTATTTTTGAAATATTATAGATAGATAAGCTTAGTTGAGAAGATTTAGTTATATAGTTATAGAGAGAGAGTTGTGACTGCTTTGTCTCCAGGACTGACCTTAAGTTATAGATAGGGGAAAAGGCTGCCTCTTTCTAAACCACAACAGCTTAAGGTTAGGGTGTTAAGATTCCAGAATCTT